ATGCTGTGCAGATTTAGGCCCTCAGATTTGATTGCTTGCAAAGCCCATTGTAGTTCTTTCAGGTTCTGACTTGATGCCATCCCTTCAGAAACTTGTTTTTACAAGAACATCAACAAAGTACAAAATTTGTAAACAATGTACAAATGTTTGATAGTGTAGTCCTTCACAGTGACTATTTAAGAATTGTTTTAATGCCACCCTTGGTATATTCTTAACTTGTCTTGATGGTGTCACTTTGAGCAAAAAATGTTCTCATTGGCATTGATTCTTCACGTATCCTATCTATTTCCTTTTCATTTGATGTACTTATCCTATGCATGATGGTGCATCATCCTGAGTGATCCTACTACGCAAAATTTCAATGCTTGCCAATAAGAAAAGCTTCTTCTACATGTTTGCATAAAACTTTGGCCATCTGATTACCCCATAATTTGGAAATGTGTTGCTTGTAGTTAACAACACATGGGTTAACAAAGAATTCTCACTTGACACCTTTTTATTTATGAAATGTTTTTTTTTGCTAACATTAATGGAAGAAATTATTGTCACTCTTATATATTTATTATTACTCTTAAAATATAAATATATATGTGTATATATATCTTTATTGTTAACTTGATAAACTAAGAAGAAGACGGGTATTTTAAATAATAATATATATTTATTAAATTCGATCTTTAAAGTTGATTTTAAATATTTTAAAATAGTATATTTGTATTAAAAATATAAAAAAAATTCTTACTTTATATTAATAATATAATAAATCTTTTTAATAAAATTATCAATTTTAGTTACTTAAATTAATTTTAAATATCAAGTTAATAATTTATTTATTTAATTATTTAACAAGAAAGGAGAACTTGTTCACATAAAATATTCATTAGAATTCTACCATAAATGTACTGTAGGGGGAATGTGGGGCCAAATGATGATTTTGGGGTATCTGCTTTTTTGACCTTTTGGCATATAGAAAGTTTATCTGTTTCTTCTTTTCTTCCTTTCCCATTGGAATAAACATAGAATCCTATAAAGTCAGGGAAAAGGGTAGCTGAGTAGTGGGCAAGTTAACCTCTTTTCAAGGCTCCTAACGGTGAAGAAATGTTGTGTTTATCTCTGTCTAAGCATGCTTTTGAATTACCCACTGATGATCCATTATTATGTAGCTAAATTAACATTAAACTAATCACATAAAACAAAGTTGAAAACTAGGTAATGAAAAAAACAAAATAAATAAACTATGTTGTTCCTGTGTCAAACTGATATTGTGGTAGAATGTGCCTTACTACATGTGAAGTTGTCTACGTTATGGTGGACCAAGCAGGAACTAAAAATTTGGGGGTTATAGTGACATTTAAAGTTCACATATTTTATTAAGAAGAATTAACCTCTTAAACTTTTCAAGAACTAGCCTTGTGTTTGGTGATTGAGACTTTTCTTCTATTATTTTGCATTAGTGTGGGTATAATGCATCAATAATATTTCATAAATAACAATTTGGTACTTATCTTTTACCCTTATATAATAATTTTGAATCCTTAACTTTTAAAAATAATGCTTTCATTCTCATATAATTATAACCACATGTTTGTTTTGTTTTATTTATTTGTGACATGTATCGTAATTAGTTATTCAATCAAGTAAGATTTTTAGTTTCTTTAATTTTTAACTAATATTCAGTTTTTTTTTCCATTAAATACTAAGTATAATGAGATATTAAACATCATCATTAAAACTATATTTACTGATTAAATTAATTTTAAATATTTTTAAAAAGTTTCAAATATGTTTTGAAGTTATTTTTTATTATTTATTCTGAAGTATCAATAAAAAAATATAACTATTCCATGCATAAGTTAATTTGTAAAAAAATTATTTTAATGATGATAAGTCAAAATAAAACAAAATAAAATAAAATAATTTGTTTTTTTAGAAAAAGGGTAATATATGTTTGTACGTGTAACTTGTTCTTTCAATGCCAAATAGGCAAATAAGAACTGATTTAGGAGTCAAACTATGGAATGACGTAATATGCCTTATTTGTTGGTGCAGTTGTGATCTTACATTTTAGAGTCAATTTTGGTACTCTTCTAGTACATTTTATATATTAGTAGTACTACTTAATTTTTACGTGATTAATTATGAGTTTAATTGATATATTATTAGAATAAAAATATTTTAATTATTAATTAATAAAATATATCATAAATATTTTTAAATAATTATTAAAAAATAAATACTAACTTTTAAACAAGAGCGTTTTTAATTTGTTTAAAATGTGACTGCTTTTAGAAATTAGTTTTATTTTTTATCATTTTAAATGTTTTTTTTATAATAAGTATAATTTTTTAATTTAATAACTTAAACTTAAGCTTTTTATAACATATTTTTTTAACTTCAAAATTATCTTTTTTTCATTCAATACAATAGAATATACATACATATATATATATATATATATATATTGTTAATAATTATAGTATTTATTCATTTTTAAATTATAAAATATATCTACCTTTATATAATTTGTTGTATTAAAAGAAAGCTTTCTCAAACATATGTATCAAGAGTTAATTTTTTATTATCTAAATAATTTTATATCATATAACAGAATATATATATATATATATTATTATTAATAATTATCATAATAAAATATTAATTATATGAAATTTTAAAAAAGGCATAAAATGTAATTTTTAAGTGAATTTTTTTTAATTTAATAATATATTTATAATGTAAAAAATCATTAACATAAGGTCTTATATATATATATATTTATAAATTCTTAAAAATTATATTAAAATTACATTTACATTAAATTTTTATATATAATTCTCATTGAAATTTATTTTATAATTATTCATGATAAAATAAACATTTATAAAATAAAATACTCAAATTTTACACGCAATGCTAATTGGTTTTTTGTTTAGTTAACTTATTGTAGCTAAATTCGTAAACTATTTTACTATTATAATTTATTTTAGAACGATTTAACTTTCTCAGTTTTGTCTTTAAAATGATGAGTGAAATTCATTGCATAGCTTACACGTGTTTTCAATGTGAAATGAAATAACTGCTTGACAATTTATAGGAGAAATAGCAAAAATTTTATATAACGTACACATATTTTTCATGTTAAGTTAAATTTACAATTAAAAGTGAATGTATAAAAACATGCATTAATAACAAAATTTTAAAAGTGCCGTTATTAATTTATATTAGCTACAATAAAATAAATATGATAACATTAATAATAATAATAATAATAATAATATGTTATAAATGTATGCTAAAATATAGTGATAAAAAAAGAGTGACATATTAATTATATAAAACAATAGAAAAATACAATTAATGTATTACATTACCAACAAGAAAATAACTACATAAAATATTTTATATAAACAGTTGAATAGTGAAGAAAAGTTCATAACTTATTGAAATAAAATAATAATGTAATTGGCTTAGGGAGGAAAGCAATATGGAAATGCAGAAGATTTGATGGGTGTCGCAATCTTTGACAGAAAATGCTTAGCTATATGAAGATTGGGCCCTTTTCCCTATGTGTGTTGAATGTTGTGATCTTACTGGCAGTCACATCACACTCTACACCCATGTTCACTCTCTGTGCTCTTCTGGGCCCTTTGCACTTTGCAGCTAAACCCAACATACTATTTCATTTCATACTTGTTCCTAACATATTCAAAATACTTATTGATCATGGGTCAAGTTTACTTTTATTTATTTATATTTTGTTTCTATAGAAAGAAAAAATATGAAAATATAGCTAATAATATATACTTTTTTACTAGAACTAAAACAAAAAAAAGGGTATCTAATACGTGGACTAAATCTACATTTAAATCTTTCATTAATTTTAGGCAATCTTATGTTCACTCAACTTGTCTTCTTGAAATGGTTCCCCTCCCAATACCACCACATTATTGCATAAGCATTATGCTAGGAACTAGAACTAGAATCAAACCAAGAATTAGTTCTAATCAAGATTGTGGACGGAGCATATAAAGGAATTTATGGTGGGAAATTTATAACAAAAAGCTATTTCAACTTTATTTGGTTTGCAACTTTCTCCGTAATGAAGTTTTATTTTAAGACCTACCAATCTTCCTTTGTAGAGTTGCAAACGTTATTTCTTTTTTCAGAAATTTGCAAATGCACTATTTCAGTTTTTAAAACCTTTTTATAAAATAAAACTAGGAAGTTAGAATATCTTGTCACTTTCTTTTTCGTTGAAATTTTTTTTCTTATTTTGTTTTAATCAATCATGACAATACTATAGCCTAAAGTATCCATCTTCTTAATCCTTTTTCGGGAAAATTATCAAACATAAAACATTACTTAGAAAGCATATTTTAGTAACCACTTTTCAAGAAACGATCAAACTCCAAGAGATTTGAGCTATGAGAATAGAAATATTTGAGTTTATTTAATCATGAACAAGAAACCAATATCATTTTCCGGAGACCCAACTAATTGCAAAGTATCATTGTGTAAGTTGTGACTATGATGTCCAAAATTCAGTAGAAGATAAAAGCGTTAAGACAAATCCTAATCCATTTAAGGATAAGAGAAAAGCATGGCCACACGTAAGTTTCATTTGAAGATCCAAATCTGAATTCTTATTAGAAGGATGGAATCCAATGAAAGTAACAAGCAAAAAGCCAAATAACCATAAAAAATGCTACTGATTAATCTAAGCTACACAAAAATAAATAAATAAAAAGTTTCTATTTTGAGGCATACCCACTAGTTGCATGCAACCAACAACTCGTTCCATGCAATTCAACAACAGTATGTTACTTTCACTAAACAGTTGCTATGAGAGGTAATAATTGACTAATCTTGAAAATCAAGGGCAAACATTTGACTTAAAAAATAGACCAAATGTAAAGTTGGACAAGAAAAGTGTAACAAAAACTAATAAAACTGTTCATCAACTTAATTATTTGAAGGGGATCCTACATAGGCATCCCACTCATGTTTCACACTTGATAAATCAAACTGAACCTCACTTACAATTTGATCAGAGTTACATATACCATAATAAAGAAAAAAAAGATGGTGACAAGAACCAACACCTTTGCATGCCATGCATTACAGTGGCAAAAGAAAGAAGAAATTCAAAAATTAATACTCTATCATTAAACCAACTAACGATGATGCGCCTCTCCGTGAGATGTACTATTACACTATAATCATGGAACAAATCTTCCTGAGTATATTCCGCAATCTGATTTTACACCTCAATCAAATTCCAAGAAAGGAACCTAAGTCTTGAAAAATGAAAAAGAGGAACAAAACAAGGAGGAGAAAAAAAAAACCAAGCCTTACACAAAAACACTTGTAACTGCTTTGTCTTTGAATATGTATACTTCAAATGAAAGAAGAAAGAACACCGTTAGCTATATATGACGAATTTCCTTATGAGCTGTATCTCTTAAGTGATGGAGATGTATGAATTCACAATACCTCATTAAACTTTAACCAGTTTCCCTTGATCTACTGCTACTACCATGACATATCCAATTAACATATCTCCTAGGCAGCGATTCCTGAAAGCGAACAATAAAGTTAATCGTGAACATCACAAAAACATAAAGAAGTGTTAATTCATTTCACGACAATACAATAGGCAAAGGATAATCAATAAGAAATTCATTCTTGACAATGAATCAAAAGTGTACTGATTATAGAAGAGAACGAATATAGGTAGAATGAATGGTCTTTGATCATATAAATTGAATTATTTATAAGAGAATAGATGCATAAAGTAACTCTGATAGGTAACTTTATGTGCCTTGTTCATAACACTACAATTATTCACGTTCAACATGAGAGAGTATGGTCTGTGTCCACATTTAAGTATTTTCAAGTTATGAAGTATAACTTACAAATAAAATTACATTTCAAAAAGTTTAAACGAAGATGATCAAGAAACCTACACATAAGCACAGGAAGTTGCAAGCAATAATTCTACTTGGATTGCAGTAAACACTTCTGAGAAAGCTATCAAGCATCTGAAGATATGAAATTAGAAGACATGCATAACAAAAGTCAGAAGCCAATAAGTACTTAGCATAATTAAAAGAAGACATAAACAAAGCTGCCACAATATATTTATCAATATATCACAGTTACAAATATGCTGATCTTAAGCTTAAAGACAAATGAAACAGACAAAGAGTAAATGCAGATTTCCATTTCAAGTTCCTTCAGAACAATTCATCTTTTGAAATATAAAATCACAACATTTGAAATAAAAAACTAAAGGAATTATAAACAATAATCTGATTTTCTTTTGGAGACAAGAAAGTAACCAAAGATCTTACCTCTATTAGATTGCCTACTTGTAACATTGTAGCTTCCAATATAACCCTCAGAACTCTTTACTGGGTCATCTGAAGCAATACCACCAAGACCATAACCAAATGAGCCAGAACCATCTATCTCAGAAGCAGCGGATCGCCAAGTAGAGTCATTGTAAACTGAACCACTGCCACTGCGGTATAAGTCCCCATAGGATCCTTCATAACCACCAGATGATACATTAAATGCAGAGGATGGAGTTACTCCAGCACTGCTGTTTCTTCCATACCCTCCCCCACCTAATCCAAAGCTGCTATCGCCACCTTCATAAACATTATTCCCAGCAGCATAGCCAGAAGCAGCCCCTCCACCCTGGGTTGGAACGGATGGACCCCAACCAGTGCCACTATTTCCAATTGAAACACCAAAAGACCCACTTCCAGATCCTAAGAAAGGACTGGGGCTGACAGGTGTACTAGCATTGTTGAGGCCCCCATTTCCCCATACATTCCGAGAGGGTGAGCTCATAAGAGAATCACTTCTCCCACTACCGCCACTATAGCCTATAGGAGTGGTATATCTGCTAGAATTACCACTGTAGAAAGGACTAAGTATTCGACCATATCCTAAATTGCTTCCATAACTGGAAGTCCCTCCAAAGCTTGGGCTCAATCCTGAATCCAAATTCATCCCCATTCCATAACCGGTGTTGCCAAGAGGAGTAAACCCACTTCTACCACTAGTAAGAGGACTAAACCTACCGTCCATTCTGACTCCATATCCTCCTATTGGATTCATACTATAGCCCTGAGCATAACTGTTTAGGTAGCTACTGGCTCTATTCAAACCCCCATAGTTATATCCTATCAAAGGGCTCCGAGTGGGACCAGGAGAAAGCTCTTTAGGAACTGCCCTCTTGACTTCAACCATCTTTCCGTTGAGTTCATGAAAAGTTCTACAAAGAACTCTATCCACGGCTTCTTCAGAATCATATGTGATGAAGCCAAATCCTCTTGGCCTCTGCGTATTATGATCATACATAACTACAACATCAGTAATTGTTCCAAATTGATCAAAATACTTTTTAAAATCACTTTCAGTGATAGTTGACGGTAACCCTCCAACAAAAATCTTTTTCGTGCGTCCAGGACCAGGAGATGCATGTGCACTACCAGACTGTCTATTTATATTGTGCTGATCATCCCTAGGAACAGCTTTCTTTGCTTCCACCTGAAATTTGAAACAACGGCACATAGATCAAAATCCGCTACTCATTTTCAGTTTCTTATTTTATAAACAAAAAATGGTGAAGTTCGATCCAATGTACATATGAAAATCCAAGCACCAAAGTAGATAGACTTTAACCCAACATAGCCAAAGTGAAACTGATTTTTCAATCACCAACAAAGTAGACAAATCTAAGAGTAAGACATAATGATCCCTGTTAGAAACACAAGTTAAGCTAGGTCCAATTACTGCAAGGCTAAACACAAAGTATTGATGCAATGCCAAACATATCTTCAATGAAAACAACTCACTGTGCGGCCATCTATTATGTGTTTATCCATAATGACTCTTTCTGCAACAGCAGGATCGGCAAAGACAACGAAACCGAAGCCACGAGCACGACCCGTGGCGCGATCCCTCATGATCACAGCCTCTATCACCTCCCCATATTTCCCAAAATATTCCTTCAGACGTTCCTCATCAGTGTCCCAAGATATTCCCCCAATGAAGAGCTTGCCAAGATCCGATTCCATCTGTTCTGACACCAACGATGACCGATTAATCATCAATCAATGATTCCAAATTCCAATATTGAGATTGCACAAAATTCAAAACAAGCACTCATTTTTAGCCAAAATTCTCATATCAAAAACCAAAACAAACAACAAAAATGCAAAATTCAACAAGCATATCCAAATCATTCAATGATGGTCAAAATCCAAGCCTAGGAATCAATCTAAATGCATAGTTTTCATTAACAGAAAATCAAGCTCAACCTTCACAAAAATCCAATCCTTCCATGAAAACAAAACCGATCAGAAATGCAGATGAGAAGAAAAACACACCTTATCTTAAAATTCAGACAGAACCCAGTTGTTGCTTCGATCAGACACGAAGTGGGTTTTGTCAAATTCGATCTAAGAGCATCGGATCTTCTGAGCATCAATCAAAACATCTAATCTCAGCACAACCCCATCACCAAAAAAACCAAAAAACTAGATCAGAGAGAAGAAAATTTAAAAACTTTCCATAAGATCGATGAGAATTGGAGCGACCCAGATGAGAAAAAATTACCATATGAGGATAAAGATGGTGGAAAAATCATGGGCATGTGAAAAATGTTTCAATGAGAGGAAGGAAAAAAACTGGGAATGGAAACAGAGGATGTGCTCACCATCCTCCCTATCTATATGTGTCTCTCTCTTCCTTTTCTTTTTTTAATTTTAATTTTCAAAAATAAAAATCTCTTGTTCTTGGTTATTCCAATTCCTTAATTTAAATGAAAAGAAAAGGAATTTGTAGCTGACATGAGGAGAGACAATATATTTATATAAATAGCGAGAGAGAGAGAGAGAGAGAGACTGCAAATCCTCTGGTGTAAGAATATTTGGAGGAGCCAAGAGATGACACCAGATTATGATTTTTCTTTTTCTTTTTTTTGGTGAAAAATGAACAATATTGATTGAAATTCATTTTCAATAATTAAAATATAATTTATTTTGTGATATAAAAATATATAATTTATTTAGTTGAGATGACCAAATTCTTTTTGAAGTAATTTTATTCTTACAATTCAGATAGAAGTAAAGAAAAAGAATGAATGAATTATAAAAAATACTATAAGTATGAGTTAATGTTATATATAATTAATATAAAATTTGCTATAATGAATATATTTTTTCAATGAATTATTATAAAGTTTAGTAATTTTTAATTATATAATAACTTATAATTGGATGATAATATAAAAATATATTCTAATTAAATTCTATAAATAATGTGTACAAGAATAATGTACTTTGTTACTATGATACATATGTAAATGGTCAATAAGAGTTGTGGATTGCATTAGAATTAGATTTATCGGAGGGCATATTACAACTTGAGATGCTTTCACTAATTGCTGTTCCTTTAACTCAACAGAAACAAAATGATCAAATTCATGTGTTGTTTGTGGAAATGAATGATAAAATGAAAGAACAGTACTTAAACAATTTAATAGTTTTTCTTTATGGTACTTACACAAATAAGCGTATTGAAGAAGTTGTTTTAACTCCAAATGCAGATTCTTTCCTTTCCTTTCCTTTTTAGATGATAAGCTTACGATATCTTAAAGATACTTTGTTTTGTACATGTTTATATGCATTAAAAAAATTAAACTTGAGATTGAATAAAATTATCTTGTTCCTACCACTTTTGTAAAAAATAAAAACACAGCACCTCATCTCAGAAAAGTAAGATTATTAGAGTTAATTTCATGTTTTGTAGTTAACATAATTAAATTTAAATTTATCTCCAAAATCATTTTTATTTGTTTAATAAAATAACAAGTATTAGTGTTGATTGAATTTTTTACTTTCCTCTTCAACCTTTTCATGTCACCGCTAGCTTTGTTGTTTAGTTGGTACCAACGTGTGTTCTCTTTATTGAAGATTGTTCATATCCATTTGCTATTGTGAAATTCTACACTTTTCCTTATCTTTTAACCAATTTTAAAATTATATATATATACATACATATATATATAGCCCTAATTCACGTTCTCGAAATCTCTCTTACGGCATTGGGGTGTTAACTTGCGTTAACGTATGTAAGATAAACACACAAGTTATTTTATTTAACAATTAACGAAAATATAGTAGAACGATGATATATTATTGATTTATGTCAAATAATATAACTATAAATATTTCAATAAAATTTATGAAATATGATAAAATATTTTTTATTTTTATTAAACTATTTTATATTCTTTTTTATGAGTTTTTATAGATTAGTAATATATTAAATTTTGTATATCATTTTGTTAATTGTTACACAAAATTATAAGATGAGTAACTTAATTTGAAAAATTATAAATTATAAATATTAAATGTGATAATTAAAATTAGAGAGACTAAAATCAAACATAAAATAATTAATAGTAAAATGAATCTATTATTTTATTTTATTTTAAATTAATTTTGTGTACTAAGAATTATCTATAGAGACAAGGCTTGGTTGTTATCAATTATATATTAAAAAGGGAATACTTGAAATTATTTTTCATTCTAAATTAAATGTTAACAAAATAAAAAAAAATGTATTCTATTCCAACTCGATCGTTTTTATTCCATATTGAATTTTATAAAATGAATGTGTTAATTTGGTGCATAGTTTTTATGATTTCTACCGTAGACCATTAAATTATGATTCACCAGAGATAATAATTAAACACCATTGGTTTAAATTTAAGATAAATAAAAAGCCAGAATTTTTTTAATTATGATGATAAAAACAATAACAAATGCATATTATCATAGCTAAAGATAAAAATAATAACAATACTTTGATATCTCACATTAGTTTTGCTTTCTAATTTTTTATAAAAATAAGTACAATATTAAAAATAAAAAATCACAAATATAATTTTATATTTTAAAATAAAATTCTATATTATTTTTGTTAAGCATATTTTATCCAATGAACTTTGGATGGAGAAAATTAATATTACATAAAATAGCATATCAATTATATAAGTAATTGAATATTTTGAAACAATTTTAATAAACTGTTATTATAGTATTGATATTATTTATAACAACACCTTTCAAAATTAAATAAAAATACTATAAGTTAAGTTAGAATAATCTCTTAATGGTTAATCTATGTGCTTGGTGGTATATAGATATTGAATGTAGATAAGGATATTTTTTATTATTTTCATTTCTAAGAAATTAAAGTAAATATTTATCATTAAATTATGTAAGAAAAATATTGTGCTTAAAATAAAAAGGCATGTTCATAATATAAAGATTAATTTTATTTTATGTAGATAATATAAAAATTACAATAATATAATAAAACTTATCTAAAAATATTTCATATTAAAACATTTCCAGATCCGTTTGTATACATTCTATTCATTTTGAACGCCCACAATTTTAAATAGTTTTATTATTATTTGGAAAATCAAGGAAACATCCAATTAAATATTATTAAAGAATTGATATAATATTTTCAATGTAAAGTACAGAAACATTTAAAACTATTCTTAAAATGATAAGCTAAATTTGTTATATATTAAAATTGTATTGATTAAATAAATAATTTAATTTTCAACAAATTTTAAATATATTAAAATCAAATAATATCAATCAATTATATATACACTGATTATTATATAATTGATATTTGGTGTATGAAATCTATGTTAAAAAAATTAAAATAAAATTAGTCTTATGATTTATTATTTTTGGATATTTTACTTGATTTTATACAAAATTAGAAAAGAAAATTAATATGGGATATTAAATGTTATTCTTATTCTTATATTTAGCTACAATAATATGCATTTATTATTATTTTAATTTACTTTTTTATTATATTTTTATTTTTATAATATTATTTAATTATTATATTTTACTTTCATTTTATTTTTCTAATTTATTTATTTATTGAATATTATTTTAATATTATTATTTATTATTCTAATATTATAAAGTAAACCTTAAAAACGTGTTTATTAATATTTTAAAAATATTATACCGAACTTTTTTAATATATTTCTCTGATTTTTCTAAGAATAATAATAAATATATATCATTATACTTTATTTAACTAGTTAGAATTAAAAATGTATACTTTTTAAGTAATTACATGACTACTAAATAATTTTAAATTTTAATTACTTATATATAATTGCATTATTTAAATTTATAACTTTCAATATTTCAAAATGAGAATTGCATTTTTGAAGATAAAATTTTGTATTTACTTTGTTAGCTATACAACTTGATTTCAAGCCATATTGCTGAATTTATACCAATAACATATACAATTAAGAATTTGTAGATTTGAGAATAATAAGAATTAAAATAAATCTAAAAATTGATGAAGTAAAAATATTATAGTTCATCAGACATAAATGTCAATACCAATAAACTTTCCCCTTTTTATGGAACATGCATCAAAGTTTTGGTACACTTATTTAAATAGAAATTACACAGATCTCATTTTACCGAAATAGTTGAGCAGAAATTTAGCCTGCTATAAAGAATTGACTGGTGACTTTTTGTTTTTGAAGAATTCACCATTGACTTCAAATGCTCATCAGAAGATAATAATATACTATGTTTGATGAGGGAACTTTATGGTCCATAAATGTCATTGTAATTAATGTGATTTTGATCTCTCATACTTTTATTATTGGTTTAATTATAATTTTGATTCACATATTTCAAAATACATATAATTTTGATTCCTTTAAATTTAATTCCTCTCATTTAATTTTTATAAATATTTAAATTCAAGTTTTTATTTTAAAATTATTTATTAATTAATAAAAATATAAAAAAAGTGTAAATATCATTATATATATATATATATATGAAAAATAATTTTTTTATACCATTACAAGTCTAAACACTCTTACACTCAATCTGAATTTTTAATAGATTTAAGTTAAATAAATAACTCAAATTAAATGTAAGAATTTTTAAACTTACACTGATATAAAAATATCTTATCTCTATATATATAATGATATTTATACTTTTTTATAATGTTTCTGTTATGTTTAAATATAGTTTTTATTATTGTTATTCACATTATCTTTTGACTTTTTTAGTGTTATTTTAATGCTTTATTTTGATTTTTTTAATGATATTTTAGTTTTCTTGCACCATGTAATCAATATTATTTTCTTGTTTGCATTAAACACTCAACAAAAATTGTGACTATAAATCAATACCGTGTCACATATCTTATCTACCATGAATATGTTTTAGTTCTTAAAGCAACAAAACTCAAAACTTACCGATGAAGATCATGCTATTGACACCACTTTATTCAATGATTAGAGTTGATAAAAACACTCATCTTAGGAGGAAGAAAAAGATAAAAATAAAATTAAACAATGAATTTATGTAATTGTTAAAAGGACTGAAATTATTGTTAAATATATCATAAATTAGCATGGATTCAAGAACATCCTTTTTAGAGGAATATTTGGAAGGACATGAACTAATAATCTACATTTTCCCTATTAAATTATCTCCATTCTGATCTATTATATCAAATCATCAATTAAAACAATCTTGTTCAAAAAATGAAAAAAAAAATTCCTGTGCTAGTGTTAATAGCCAGATTAATGTAATATTGTATTAGTTGCTTCCTTCACTTGTAGTGCATAAGGGCAACACTACATAGTGTCTATTATTATGACAACTGGTAACCACATGCCATTGTTTATAGAGGTTGGTCTTCAAAAAAAGCACGTTACGTGAATAAGCGCGTTTAAAAGCCACACCTTCTTCGATGAAATTAAAAGTCTTATTTAAGAATGTTCATCCTCTGGAATTGTCCAAGTGATTGAGGTGCCAATCTCGCATATACTGAGCTGGTAATTTGAAAAAGA